CCCCACTCTCCAGCATTCTTTTGCCCCTATTGGCACAAAGTCATCTAAACATTTTATCAGTCATCTTCTCCACTATGAGACCTTTATGTAAGTCCCAGCTATTCATTTTTAGACAGGTAATTCTGTATTAGCAGAAATGTTGTTACTTGATTATTCACTTCTTCCCCAGATCAGAAAACCCTGTAAGATTCCATCAGTAATCTTCACTGCAGAGCTGTGCTGGGTTTGTGTGTGTAGTGGGGGAAGGGGCAACAGCTGTGGGCCCCTGTGAGAAGTTTCTCAAAACTCTCCCAGCTCCAAGTTGGACCCACCTCTGCACCAAGGCCAAGCCAATTAGCGACAGTGGCTACACCTCTGCGATAACATATTTAAGAAGGGGAACCTGGGAGGAGGAGTTGTGACAAAAACACCTATGTAAACACTGAGGGCAGCTGAAGAAAGGAGGAGGGAGGAGGTGTGCTGGAGCAGAGATTCCCCTGTAGCTTGTGGTAAGAGGGCAGGTTATCCCCTGCAGCCTGTGGAGGACCCCACACTAGAGCATATGGCTGTGCCTGAAGAAGGCTGAGACTCTGTGGGAAGAAGGTCCTGCTGTTGTAGCTCGGTGCTGGGAGGATTGCAACACACAGGAGGGACCCATGCTAGAGCATCTTGTGGAGAATACATCCCATGAGAAGGACTTACATCAGAGAAGGTTGGTGGAGGACTTTCTCCTGTGAGAGGCACTCCACACTGGAGCAGAAAAAAAATGGGAGGAGTCCCACCTCACCTCCAAGGAGGACAGAGCTGTGGAACTGACCACACCCCTCCATTCCTTGCACCCCTGCATCACTGCTGGGGAGGAAGTAGATTAAATCTGGAGTAAAAATGAGCTGGGGAAAAAGGGAGGGGTCAGGAGAAGGTGTTTTTAAGATGTGGTAATGCTTCTCACTGTCCTACTCTGTTAAGTGTTGTTGTTAGTGTTTGAATTAAATTGATGTTATTTTTCTTCCCCTAACAAGTCTGTCTTTTGCCTATGACTGTAATGGGTGAGTCATCCCTCCCTGTTCTTATCTCAATTCCCAAGCCTTTTGCTTTATTTTCTCCTTCCCATTCCTGAGGGAGAAGGGGTGTGCAAGTGGCTTCCTGGTGCTCAGTTGCCCTCTGGGCTCAAACCACAACAGGAGCTTAACTATTCATTCTTATTTTCCATCTGTCTTTTAACGAGAAATTAGTCTGTGAGAAGACTGTCTTTAAGACTTCTCAGTGAAGACTCTTGTTAACAACATTTTGAAAAACCAAGTATGTTGTATTAATCAGCATTTTCACTGACTCCTTCAAAGAACTTTCTAATAGACTTGTGAGGCATTGCTTCCCCTTGTAAAATGAAAATAAACTTCATCTCTTCCTTATTGTATCATGCATTTCCATTTACCCACTAATCTTTTCTTTATTAGAATTTCTGCCAAAGAACTTCCTCATGCTTCAAGGACTTCTTAAATAATTTATGTCATATGTGCCAAATTTTATTCCTCTCCAGTTAGTAACTCAGCAATGTCTTACTTGTGTTATTTTAAAATCTTGAAAGAATATAATATGTTCACAATGTTCATAATTTCTCTTGTTCATGTGTTCTAATGTCTTTTGTTGAAGCTGTGGTTCACCAGTAAAGCAAAGCCAGTGCTAGGGATAATAACACCAGACCAAAAACATTACAGCTACATGAATGACAGTTCAAATGTGTTCAGAAAATGTTATCTGTTTGGTTTTGCACTGACAGTCTCTATGTTGTATAACCTATCATTTGCCTTTTAACATCCTGCATAAAAACAGCATAAAGTCCAAGTTATACATGCTTACTAAATCAATAGAAATGCATTCACCTCCCCACATTTGAACCAGATGAAACTTGTACTGATGGATGATCTGCTAGTGTGCACTGATGATGATGGAACATCAGCCCTACACTTCATTTGGATATTCATTTCCTTATAAGATATGCCTGAAAAGTTCAAACCTCCATTTTACAAGGGTTCAGAAGTGATTACATAAATTCATGAGAGAACACCCATCAAGACTTGCTGCAGATCACTAGAATCTACTACTTTATAATGTTGAAGTGTCTCTGTATGCAAGTCCTAGTTTGTTCTTCTTTAAGCATGTGCTAATGATTGCAGTTGGATCCAGACACTAAGCAAGAGAGACTTAATTTGATCTACCATCACCCTTCCCATGCGGCCATTAAGTTTTACTTGTCCCAAAAAATCCTTTTTACTCCAGCAGGCTATTCCAGTCTCACTATTCAAAAACTTCTTTGTATCTCATCTCCCTCCACATCAGAATACATAAGAAATTCCTGTGAACATCAAACCATGTTCTCTGTTACCTTGGAGCTCTCTTCAAGAACCAAAACTTAGTGTGAAAAGAGAAATCAAAGAGACTGAGGATGAGTGGGAGGAGTTAATTTGCAAAGGCCAGGACAAGTGAAGTAGTGAGGAGCTCTGTGTACTCAGCAAAATCCCCTGCTTTCTAGTCCTCCATGCCTTGGACAGTCACAGGAACACATATTTATTCTGAGACCAAATTCTTCTGGATCCCCAAAATATATATATATTTTCAATGTATCTACACACAGAATTAAGGCAATGTCCGCATAAATACAGATAAGCAAAACACTTGATAACAGAATCTAAAACCGAGGGGTTATTGGTTAGTAACGCTCACGATGTTTCTGACGGGGAGAAAAACCTAACTTGAAGTAGCTCAGCTTAGGATGGGGGTTTATTGTTGTTGTTTTCGTTTTTTAATGAAACCCATGGTATTTCAAATTTGCCTTTGAAAATCTTTTGTCCTTTTCTCTTTACACAGAATAAATTGCTTCACAGCTGAATTCCAAGTAGTCATGTATATTGAATATAGAACACAGTCATACAGCTGTTGGAGCAAATTGCACTCACCAGAATAGAGCACATACTCACAGATTTCTTCATGGACTACAACTAGATTTCTATATAATACCAAACCCCAAATATCTTAAAGTTTAGAAATCCAGACCTAGGGTTGTCCTGAGCCACTGTAGCACTGTCCCTGCATCAGCATCCTAGGAGGAAAAGATATCACCTCCCATACACACACATACACATATCCATCTCAAAAGAGTTCATTCCAACATGATAAGAAAATGAAAAAATAAGTTTTACACTGTTTCATCTGTATTTCCTGGAATTCCAGGTATCTCAAATATGATGATTAGGCAGATGAATAAAAATACAAGCACAGAATCTTACACAATATACCTATACTGTATCTACCCAGTTAATAAGACTGCAATGCAAAGACACCATCTTCTAGAACAGAAACACTTAGATCCCACAACACAACAAAGAAGACCTAGATAAGAAAAATGGGTGGTATATTACCCTACAGTTTTGCTCAACATTAATCATCAGGCCACTAACTTTGAGGTGTCCTTTGCTACAGTAATTATTGAAAATCTTATGGGTTGGAAGTATCCGTAGTGTAGCACACTACTTTTACATTGTTCCTTGTAATTAATCACGTTACCAGAAGAGGTAAATAAATTAATCACTAATAGGATACAAATGTTCATTTATATACACTTGTTCTGAGTTTGGGGTGCGGGGAGAGAAAATAAGACATAAATCTATTTAAGAAAAATGATATAGCAAACAGAACCTAGAGAAAGCCTGCACTGTTTAAATGGCCTGTGGAGTCACTACAGTCTAGGAGACAAAAGAAAATACTGACAAATAATTGATTCACAGTAGGGTATTATTTTTGAAAGCTAATTTTTGATTGAGAAAATATGCTATCACTGAAATGCTCTCAAAAGGAATATCTTCTGTGTACCACATTTTAAAGAAATAGTCTTATTCAAAAGTTTTCTCTACTTTTACTTCAGTCCAGAAAGAACAAGAAAAACAGGTAACTGAGCTTTTATCTGCCTGTTTGATGATGGGGGAGGGTGGAGACACACGTAAAACTCTTGAAGGCAGAATGCTTAAAAAAAACAAGCAAAGCAAAAAATCTGGGATAATTAATATCAGATCTTAAAACTTAACTGAGCACAGAATCCAACAGAGGAATGACACACAGACCTGCTTCTCAAAACAACATAATTCAGTTGCCTTTCAGAAGCGATCACCACTGTCACATACCATCTCTTCATTTTCATTTTATAGAAATTTCAAAAATATATTTATTAGAGTGTGCCACTTCTAGGTCACTATCTCTTTTCATCTATTTCAGAACTCTCTATGACCTGGAATATGTCTTGTTTTGTGCTTTGGTGGGATTAAGAGCAAAGGAGTGTTCGCAGTTCAAGATAAACAGGTTCATTTTAATATGGTACCCTAGTGTTACAGTTGTTAGCAAAACAATATCAGGGAACCTTTCACTACCACTCCCATAATGAATCACTACAATTACAATGGCCCTAATGAAGTGCACCTACATTCATAGTCAAATTGAAAAAAAAAAAAAAAAACAACACAAAAAAAAAAAAAAACAAACCAAAGACAAGCTGATCACAGTTAATTATTCTCTATTTTGTTATAGTCTTCAGAAACTTCAAGGGAACATTATTGCTACATAGAGAAACTGCTTCAAATTAGAAAAGAATTTACCCATTAACAGAGAAAAAGTTGTAACAAGTTCAGGAAGGTAGTTGCCACAAACATTTTAGAGAAACATAGAAAATTCAATCTGCAAACAAACTGAATACGGTCTGCAATAGCTCATTTTCAGCCTTGGCAAGCATGCATGACTATCAAGAACATATTGTAAGTATTCATACCTGAAAGAATCTACTGCATCTTCCTCAATGGGATTGATCAAATATTCTGATAAGAAACTAGTTGCTTGCAACATGGAATGTGCACAACAAAATAAATTATCAAAAGGGACACATTCCTTAGAACTCATGGGAACACATGGGAAGCATGCCAACTATGTTCTGTATTTTCTGAGTCAGAATTGTGAAGCCAAATAAAATGTAAACTTACCTTTTTTCTGATCCATTTTTTGTGACACAGATGGACGAGTAGGATTTAATACTGGCAGAGTGGTCATCCTCTCTGTGTTGTTAAAGGATGCATCTATAGACCAGAAAGTTGCCTCCTCTGCAGTGACAAACAGCTGGGTGCTGTCTTCAGAGCCCTCTGCCAAAGCAGCTTCATATGTAGGGTGAGGATTGAGCATGGTGGCTTGAGTTGTGAGAGCAAATGAATTTTCCTGGAAGGTCTCTCTAAATATGTTTGAGTTCTTGTTCATTTTGTCAACGTGGGATAAAGGCATAGTGGTCCAGGAAGAAGGCTGTGTGCTGAGATCCATTGTGGGATCAGTCTTGGAACTGTTTTCAACCATGCTTGGCAAAAGAACATCAGAGGTTTCAATGTCACCATTAACTGTGAGGACCTCACTTCCATTTGAATAAAAGCATGTCTTTTCTAACACCCCTGGAAGAAAGGAAAAAAAGCACCAAAATTACTATCACCTGGAAGGACAAGTGTTATCAACACATTTTGAAAGGTTAATAATAAATACAATGGCATGGATTAAAAAAAGTAATATTTATTTCAAAGTTAAAATTAAAGAGAACTAAAGTTAAGAATTTTATGTAGCAACAAAATAACAGTAGCACATCAAAACAAAAGCTATGACTACTGTAGAATAAATAGAGAATCATATAAATAGAAAAACAAATAAACGCTTCCATGAACTACAAATGTTTTAATCTTGCTTGTACTAGGTCACTGAACTCTTACATGTTTATAACTGTAGAGTGTAATTTTGGGAAGTTACAACATGTATTTGTTCTATCAGAGTATTAACAAGATTGGCAATACTATTTCTTTTTTCTTTTTTTAAATTGTATCATCTCTTGTTTTCTTAGTACCACCATCTTCAGAAGCTAGTTCTGAAGCGTTAAGGGAATTGATACATTTTTAATATATTTTATATTCACTAACTTTTAAAATTAAAAGAGGTAATTGTTTTCTCTACATAGGATTATGTAATTTAACTACCACTGCTAAATATAGGTCTACGAGTTCTTTGTCATTCTTCTCTGATACTGGATTTTAAATATATAGTTTTATCCAAAATTTTAGGCACTTGCTGTACTTTTTTTCTTGTTCATTTATTATATCATAGAAAAACACAGACTTGGCTTAGTTTTATGAACAGTTGCAAGTAATTATAGTTCATAAATCAGAACAGCTGCATAACACTAAGGAGGTGCATCCCACAAGCATTAGGAAGTTCAAACTAAATAGTAAGAGAATCTATTTTTAACCTGTGACTATTATTGAAATATCTAATTAATCCAAATACTAAAGAAGGCATCTCAAACATATATAGGACATATAACTTAGTTATCTATAATAAAAACTACAAATACTAACTCAGATTTTTTAACCAATTATTTTAGAGTCATATTTAATGCCAGAAGAGAAGCACCACTCCATATCACAATATAAGGAATTTTTGGTAAATAGCAAAAGCAAATTTTGCCACTAGCTACTCATGTAAAAGAGTTTAACAATCATAATAAACACAGTTCAGCTAGACTTTATTAAAAATACTTAAAAGGAATCCCTCAAAATGTAAAATCTCCTGGTTTTAAATACCCTGGAAACAACTGATAATTTTAATAGCTTTTCTTATTGTCTCTTCCCAAAATACCTCTCTCACACAATGCTTTAAGACAATATAGTAAAAAGAAGGGAGTGAAGAATATCTGTCCTTTCAATGATGTGATACAAATACAACAGCCTTTCCTTAGACAAAATCCAAAGAAAAGGCCTAAAACATGGCTTTCTTCAGCTGGGCTCCATGTGGAAAGAAGGTTTTCTACTTATTCTTTTCTTCTCTCTCACCCTTACATCTAGCCACAAGCCCTCAAGCCAAAAAGACTGTCACACCTGAAGCACATTAACAAGAATTCACCTCCTGTTGTTCTCTACAAACCGTCTAAACTCAAGGCAAATGGCACATATTTTTCTTTCCATACTGATATGTAAATCGTTTTTTCCTAGGTCTCATACTGATTTGATCATTAACTGCTTGGTACAGATGACTTTTGAGTCCACACAACACCCACCACCATCTCTCCTGAACTCCATTTTCAGTTTGGTTATTGGTTTTACCAAAATGGCTAGTCGCATGATCAGCTCTCAGGCATCGTTCACCTGCCACCACTCCAGGCTCTCTCCCTAGCCAAACCCACAGCTCTGCCAGCTCCAGGCACCACACACAGCCCATACCCACTCAGGTATCCTGAGCCCCATCTCACAGCTGTTATTGAATTCCTCTTTTCACCCTTTGATGCACTTTGCAGTTAGACTAAATTAGTTGACTAGTCTGAAATTCACAGACTGGGCATGAGGAAATCTTTATTAGTCACAGTTACAAATAACTAACAATGTCAGAAGAACCCAACTTATAGTTAAAGTCTGATGTGACTTTGGATCAGAAAGATTTATAGATAAGAAAATAAGAGCACTAGACTAAATGAAAAGGGACAATCTTAACATTTTCTTTTCCACTGAGTAACCTTTAACTATAGCAACTGGAACTAGCAAGAAAAACTCATAAGATTCCTGAAATATAATAGGGTTCAATGAAACAGTTACCATTTCAAATTTACCATATCCTCATTTATCCAGCCTGGATTGTTTTGGCTCCAGTGTCACTAACTGTAAGTAAATCTTTGTGTCTAACTTCTACTGGAAGAACCCAGGGGAACTTCATATATATACATGTTAAGGTTTCTGTTTTTCACCAGCAAATGTTCGTAATTCATTGAGATCTGGAGGAATTTACTGTGTGTTTTTACAGAAACAACAAAAACTCTCCCACCTGCAAATTATTTCAGCAGCACTATTTTTTTTCTTCAGTCCTCTGGTCAGGACAAATGGGAAGAAATAATGCGCTCTGGTTTCACAAATAGGGACCATTAATATGATTTGCTAAAATCTAAGGACTTATGAGTGATCATGCTCAGAAATTGTGCTCACTCATATGTAGCTTTACTTGGATGCTTTGATTCCAGATAAAGCTTTGAATCTCTATGATGCAAATGCCTACTTTGTTTCAAGATTCAACCTGCAGTAGGTTTTTTTAGTAGCTTTTTTTCTGTAGTTTTCAAAAAGTTAAAATCAGCTTTTTTTCCTCCTTTGGAAAAGGACATGATTTTTTTCCATAACTCAAGAATAGCTGAGGGGATTTTTTTCACATTCTCTCTCCTCCTCCCTAGGCTTGTCTCTTCTCTTCTACTCAACATAAAGATTGAACAAGCCTGGAAAACTTTGGTCCCAAAGAGCTACAAATAATGATTTAAAATGAAAGTTAAAATTATTAGCTATTTATATATCAGTCAGCAGAATAGCAGGCAATACATTACAAGACAGGTAAACCCCAGAAATAAGTTTAAAAAAACCTTTTGGTTTAATACAGTGGAGTAATAAATACTGTTAAGGAAAATATTGGAGTTACCCACTGAATACTATCCTCTCCCTTCTCAGCCTTATTTAATTATTTTTCTGGAACTACAAATAATACCCATGTCCATCACTACCCATAAAATCATTTACTTCTTTCACTGAGATTCCCAAATGCTTGTTCACTTCTTCAACCCATCTTTTCAACAATAGCATTTTTTGTTCTATTTCCACAGTTTCCTAGTGATAACAGCTCCCCTTCTCTTCTTGACAGGTGCACCACACAATGAACCTCTTCTACACAAAAGGCTTTCCCAATTATAACATCTTAGATGACAATGAGTAGTATTAAATTTTTTAATAGGTAGGGGTTTTTCCACAAAATAATGTGAGCCTGGGCTCTGGTGCATATGTCCTTGACTGAGGTAGGCATACACCTCTTCTTGGCATTCCCCACTAGCTAGCTCTAGATGACAACTCTGTTTCCACTTAGTATGCAAGGGTTTTGGATCACCTTCCTGAGTCACCTTGTTATCATGTTTTCCTTCTATTCTCTCATCTTCCTAATGCACGGTAGGGAATTCAAGCACTTAATTCCAGGCTATAGAGTTCACTCTCTGAGTTAGGCTCCCATTTGCTTTGTTTCTCATCCTTTTTCCCCCTAAAAATACTACTGTATATCTTCAATCTTAAATTAAGCTTACCAGAGATTTTTTTATAGCATCAAAAGCCCTGAAGGAATTATTTAAGTTTTAGGATACATAAGAAAACAGTGCAATGCTTTAAAACAATCTTTTTTAATCTATTCAGTAATGAGAACTGAATTACTCTCAATCAAAGTCTGCTAACAGCCATACAACACATACAGAACATACATTTTATTCATGTATACATGCACACTATATCAAACTCTTCTTCAGATGTGAGTTCATATAGAGCTGTAGACAGTAAATCATAAACCAGATAGTCCCTTAGTTGAGAAATAACTGTAACAATTTTGGATTTGTGTTTCCAGCTACAGCTGGACATGTCCAGATGACAGAAATATACAGCATGCTGACCTTCATCATGTTTGGTACAAAATGAACTAGCACCAGGATCATTCAGTTCAAAGCGATGCTTTGCCAACAGTTTTACTGACTATTTCCCAGTTGCTGTTCACTATTGGGGAATTAATATTTTCTTTAAAGATCTGAAATGGATGGTCACATTGTTCAAGCTATTAAACTGAAGTTTTGGCAGTGTATACTGTTGGTGATTTCTAGCAGTTCACAGCAGGAAATCTCAAAAGACCAAGTTTGTTTAAAAAGCTAATGAAACAGAGCAAAGCAGCCTACCAAAGTATGTGTAATGGATGAGGCAGTTCCAGAGGGACTAAAACACTGGTTCACTACTATAACTAGCCAGCACATACCCACTGAGATTTCTTCCACGGGGTCTGTCCCTATGACTCTGCACTCTGAAGAAATGGGCACATCACTGATGATATGGAGGTCCCATAGCATATCAAGCCATTGCACATCAGTTGAGCTGCAGTAATAGACTTTATCCTGTTCCTCCTGTCAAGTAAAGACATTGCCTTCAACTGCTTACTGGCTGCCCAAGGGTCCAAAAAGGAGGTCAGTTGTTTTTTTTTTTTTTTTTTTAATGTAACTTAACAGGTGTCTTATGCAAATAATGGATCAGTTCCCAGATAAAATGAAACTCAAAGCAGACTTTGTGGAAGGCATCTTCTAAAGAAGCTGCAGAAGGAAGCCAGGCTCCTAAGGTCCTGTACAAAAAGGAGAGATTTTCCCTTTCATCAGCCTCTGGCTTTCAGGCAACAAAGTCTCAGTAGAAATTGTCAGGATCATACTAGAGGACTGGAGGGGAAGACAGTAGCTACCTTTCATATTAACACCTGTTGTTGCCTGAAAGTTCCAAGTTACAGTCATAACACTGTGGCCTAATAAATAAATCTTATCTGGTATCTTTCTTTTTTCCTGTTTCTTGAGCACGACATGTCATGTAACTGG